TTCTTCCTCCTTCTCCATGCAAATCAGCTCGTGTCAGAGTGACAGAGGTGACTGGGCTGTGACCCACACCATCTTCTGACACAAACTGATTTCCATGGGGAACAGGAGCCGAGACTCAGAGTGAGAAGGGCTGGGGCTGGGGTGGACAACCCGAAGGAGTCATTGACAGCTGTCCCATTCCTGCACCCCTTCCTGAGTCCTCTCATGACACAGACAGGTTCCAGCTAAGGCACTGAGCGGCCCCTAGGTTTGCCAAAAGAGCATCCTGAGTCTCCCTCAGATTCAGCCGATTCTCAGATTCTTCCATGTTCCCCCCAGCAGTTTCTCCATCCATCATCACTGACAGCAGGACACTTCTGAGGTCTCCCTCTCCATGCATGCATGTTATAGTGACATTATATTTCACAGCAAAAGCTGCAGATGCGCACAGTTCAATATTGTTTGTCTTCATCATGTTGTAAAGTTAAAATGACAAATGCTGCCTGACATATCTATTTGCCAGATGCCACATCCCCACTTCCGCCAAAGGAAGATGATGGGAATGGTTTACTGTAGTTAGTATATGCAACCGATAAATACAATCCACTTATAATAGTCAATACTTATTGGGGCATATCTTATTAGGCAGGTCACTATTTTATCCTTGTGATGGGTAATGGTGTGAGAAACAAATCCAGTAAAGCTATTATATATGTGTTGTCAAGTACCGTTCTCTTGTGCCCTCCCTACAATTGCTCCCACTGTCACTCCAGGGTCTTGGGCATTAAGAGGCAAGTCCTGCCCTCTTTGAGTGGACACAGACAAGGAGAGAGTCCACAGCCCGAGAGGATAGGCAGTCCCATAGCTGGGTCTTCTACTCAAGGTTGATTGAGTGTCACGTTTGCAGTGAACCCAACCTCAGATCCACACACCAGCCTGGAGAGTACTAGCTGGGACTAGGTAGGTGGCTAGTAAAGGATTAAGGTTTCTGATGGAGGTGTGACCAATACATGGATCCCCTGTGCAAAGCCAGTGCCCTTGTTGGTTATCACAGCATCCAGCCCAAGAGAACTCAATGAGAAGACCTTTGAATCCTTCATTCTTTTT